TTTTTTTTTATTTCAATATGTCCTACTAGAAGCGTGGAGTAAGTACAGCAATGAATAAAAATTGAATTGGCAAAACTGTTAATGCTTATTGACTCTCAAATGTTATCTGGCAAGAAACCGAAAAAGCTGACTCCTCGTAAAGAAAACAAAATCTTTGTTTACTTAACAAATGTAAATTAAACGAGGAACCGAAGCATAGACGTGCTATTTTTCAAAATTATTGCCACTTCGCTGTTTTACCACCAAACTGATTCGCTTATCAAATAGTATTGATATGACATGTAACGATTACTATTTACAGTCTAGAATCTCTTTTAATAATTTCTTGCTCAAAGAGTAAGGATAGTTGAGTCGAAAATATATCTCCATTATATCTACATAAAAAAAATTGTAGTTAATTAAATAATAATGAAATCTACATAATGGTCTTTAACTTAATCTAATTATATTTTATTAATAGAATTATATAATTGAAAGTAGTTTGCGTAATTGGAGCTTTTATGAGTTCCAGCCGCAAGCTTGAAATAATTACAAAAAAATTAATTGCAAATTCTTATAATATATCATTTAAACAATGCCTTGGAATTTATTATCAAAAGCAATAATCTCTGATGCGTAAACAAATAAATATCTTTGAAAGAAATGATGGATTTCACTTGGCTTGTGTAAAACCAAGTCAACGTATGATACATATGAAGTTAATGGAAGAAAAAAATTACGGATAAATATATTGAAAATTGGTGCAATATTATAGATTTTATAATAATAATTGTTATGTATTATCAATATACATTTTACAATTAATCATAGAGCCAAAAATTCTATGTAAATTATTATACTATTTATATATATATATATATATATATATATATATATTAGGCATTAATTTCATAATACTAAACATAAGTAATAATTAAGCTTTCTAAAATTTCACCAATTTTTGTTACAATTTATATACTATACTTTATATTTAATAGATTAAAGTGTAATGTAACTTTATCGTCCAACTTATAATTACATTCCTAAATACAAAATTAATTTTACATAAATATCGCATCTACTCATTATATCACAATTACGTTTCAATAATATTTTCTTAGATTGGTAAAAGTCCGTTAGATAACTTTTATGCATTTTCATCGTATCTCGTAAAATAATAACTTTAATCAATAATTTGAAGTATAAAATACGAAATTGGTAATGTTTTTTTTTTTTTTTTTTTTTTTTTTTTTTTTTATCATCTTTTTTATTGTATCGGATAGTTTTAAAGCCACGGTAAATTATTCTATTAAATTTTTGAAATTTTATATTAAAAACAGACCCAATACGAATAAGACATACATAACATCTGCTGTCGAGCCACTTATTATTTGACGTTCGTTTAAAATTTTTAAATCTTATTTCGATTACCTAGAAAATTAAAACTTACCTTACCTAAAAAATTAGATTTCCGTTTCTCGCTCTTAAAAGCAAGATACTTCTGAACATGGAGTAATAAATTAGTGTGCGCCAACTTGATAAAAATTATGCATTAATATAATTATATGTTGCGTTATTATATACATTTACCTTCGACCAATCTCATTCTCCCTTAAGAATGAAAATACAAGATGTTTATTATAAAAAATTTCATTATGCATATAGAAGAAATAATAGATAATATATATATATATATATATATATATATATATATATATAAATATATTATCTAAAATATCTGTAAATCTTCACTTGGAAAATATTATAAATACTTTACATATTGCATACAACTTTATTACGCACACATATTATGATTTAATTGTAATTAAATAGAAGAGAGAGAAAAAGAGTTTCTGATAAATGTTTTTATTTCGTTAATAGTTTATTGAATTGCTTAATATAAATTTAATTTTAACAGAAAAACATTAAGTAATCCAAGTAAACGTAATCGTTCACGTAGATTAACAAAATTTTGTAATAGAAAGATGAAACGATTGTAATAATTGTTATTAAAAGTAACATAATTATCAAATAATAAAACAGAGCTTTAAAAATCTCGATATTATTGTAATTATAATTTGTAAATAATCGAAACGAATCATTATTAATTTATCATTTTTTATAAGTAAATAAGAAAATGTGGAATACGGCTTTACGTCTTATGTATATTATATATTATTGAATAAGCATTTTTTTTTTCTGGTTACCAAATGAATTTTGTGTAATTAATTTTGTTTTACACTTTACCATTAAGCCTACAATAAGATATATACAAAATAGAATAATTAAATACTTACTCATCTTTGCTCAAAAGTATATACAAAATGAAGAAAGAATAAATAATCTTCGTTCGTTTCAATATTAAAAGAATTGGGGATAGATTTTTGCAAAGTGTTACAAACAAATAAATTGCAACTATAATTTTATATAACATAATTGAAATTATATTATATTTCTGGGAGCTCTTACATATAAGATGTCGATACATGTATTTATGAGACTTTCTCATCGAATTATGATTAAAACTATTAATGATTCTCTTATAAATTTATGATATATAATTTTCTTATTATATAAGAAGTGGAATGTACTTATATACGCAAAATACATATAAGAATTTAAAAATAAAAGTCTTTCGTTCTTTATAAATAGTATCCGAGAACTATTGTACATCCATAGTTAGAAAATAATTCATTTTATTAGTAATATTAAAACTAATGACAATATTCCATTTACAGTTTTTTTTTTCAACTTTCAAAATTATTGTTTACACATGAATTTGAATTTTTTCGTTACTTATATAAATGTAAAGTTGCAACGATTTAATGAATGTTTTCATGGTGAGTGCAAGCAACGAAATCAAAATGTCCATTAATTGTACTATCATTCGAATTTTATTAAACAAATTAAATACAAAAGATTTATACTTTTCACTCTCCGATCTACTATTCTCGCGATGCATACAATCGCTATACATTTACCAAACAAATCAGCTCCTTGCATTTTACAATGAACAATAAATTATCTTTAAAAAAAGGAGAAAAAAAAAAACAAAACAAAAAAAAAACAAAAAAAAAGAAAGAGAGAAATTACAAAGGACTGCGCTTCCAAGTATATTTAATATAAATAAAAAGAGTCAACGCTATATATAGATATATATGTATGTATGTATGTATGTATGTATGTATATATGTATATATGTATATGTGTGTGTGTGTGTGTATATATATATTTATAATTTACGGAAGAATAAATCATCTTGCCGTTGACGAGGACGCATATTTCAAAATTCAACTACATATCCAGAATAAAATAAAGAGAAAGGCTTTGATCTCGAAAGCTTCGTTCTCTTTTCTCTTCTTCGATCTCCGCTCGGTCCACGAGCAACAAACGTGAAAATTACAAAATGAAAGAAAAACGAGAAACAAAAGTTTTTACAATCTTCTACGAATTCATGCTCATTTATCGTTCGCTTATCTATCTCTATTGTTTTAATTAAAAATGAATCATAAATCGAATGAGAATGAACTAGGGGATATATTAGTTAAATTTTCTCTTGATGATTAAAATACATTTTCGGTGAATACTTGCGATGAATTGTGCGTTTGCTTCGTGAAGGAAAGTTTATACAAAGTTGTTGGTCTCGAGGAACAAATGTCTCGGGATATTTGACGTGTAAGTCGGAATTACATGCAGAAAGCTCAAGCCAAAAGTTTATTGCGATAAGAATAAATATGCGCTTGGAACGACGACAAAAATCCAAATAAAAAAACAAAAGGAAAAAAAAAAGAAACAATACCAGACGACACGCAAATTTAAATTAAATAAATGTCTTTGAATTATTTGTGCGATATTTTCATGCCAAGATTAATGACTTTGTGAATATTAAGTAATCATTAGAGTGACTTCAACTGTATTTTCGGACATTCATTAAATTTTAACAGCGGAACAAAGAAGTTTTTGTAATTCAGCACATAGTCTTTTATATTTAGCTCATTTTACATTAACTTCGAGGCTTTAGTTTGTTAACTATTCGATTTTACAAAACATTTTAACATTCTAAAAACATAGCATAAATAAACAAAGACTGCATTATCTCGAAAGTAATTGAAATTACATTGATATTCGAATGTTTTTATAAACATTTTTCATTTTGAAAGAATTTTCATTCGCTGATTTTTTTTTCTTCATCGTCGACTTCGCGGAACGCAGCCAGTCAAACTGTCGTCTCTTAACGTAAGTCTATGCATCCCAAGACCGCTGACTTGAATAATATTTACTTTTTTTTTTATTTCAAAACGCCTTTACGATATGTACAATGAAAGATATAATAAATGAATGTAGCAATACACGTGCCGCGCAAGCACGCTTACACGTGTGTTCGATATAAATAAACGCGCGTCTTACATATGTGTTTGTATGCACTATGCATTTATATAATTGCAAGCCTTCCAGGGGTTTTCACGTCACACCAAAGATTAAAAGAAATTTTTACTATCCACAAATATGCACACATCCGCACGCATAATTATTTTTTATTTAGGCATTGATAAAATATCTCCACAGAAATTTCTCACACTCATAGCAGTCACTCTTCGACACTCGGCGTGCATAAAAAAAATATACATAGATACGCGTTTTCACATGTACGTGAACAAAAAAAAGAGAAAAAAAAATATATATATATATATA